TCTTTCCCTTTCTCTCTCAAAATATCAGTAAAAACATATCGTTGGGTAAGGATTAAAAATAATAAAAAAACAAAAGACAACTCATGTTTCTTATAAATATATAACTTTATATATTATATATATTTACAATATAGACAGGGTACAAATGTTTTGTAATGTAATACTAATGGCAGTCTTAAAAACAGATGTTTTCAAAACAAAAGTTGGGTACGTATCTAATGTGGTCGCTGGTTCCTCCAGAACCCACATGAGACAGTGCCCCAGGCCCAGATTTCTGTGGAAGTGAACAGGAAGAGTTGGGTTGCTGGAGCCTGGCTCCAACACCCTTTTCCGTCCCAAACTCCCTCATCTTCCACTGGCACCAGCCAACATGGCCCATGTGCACCCAAGTGGGTGAACCCTGGGGCCTGTGCATGGTCCCTCTGTGGGCACGGAAGCCCTGTGGAGTGTGTAAGAGTGCTTTTCATCGCCATCTCTAAGGCAGCATTTCCATAACCTGGAAGACTCAGTCATGGGGCTAAGGATGGTCTAAAAGAAGATGCGTTAGGTGTTTTCAGTTTGTCAGTAAAACAATCTACACATCCGTGTGCTAAATAAATTAAACGTTAGCTACAAAGTGCCATTTCTTCCTTGTGCTTTGGAATCTGGAAGCCACCGGTCACAACACCACTCATCTTCCAAAAGTTTCTTCACACTCAACTAGTTCATCTATCGTGCGCAGCAAATCTTCAAAGGAGGGCCTTCCCTCTGGTTTCTACAATTAAGAATCAAGGAGAAGCGGTGGGTTCCAGAATCTATTCCAAAAATGGTTTCTCAAACTCATATAACATAGCACACTAGGGCAAGGCACTCATTGCTCTGGGACTGGAACACACAGGCGTCCCAAAAGGGTCTGATCTAGCCTGCATGTGCTGCCGCTGGACTGCGTTCTACCATCTGCCTTTGTACTGCCACTCAAGAACCCGACTGAGCTCCTCGTTGCCTGCAAACTCGAGTCCTGCTCATTAGCAGTGCTCTCCATAACCTGCCACCCCCCACCTCCTTGGGACCCAATTTCATTTCCCTGAAAAACGCTCACGTGGACTCTCTGCTCAGTCACACCAATCTCCATCCTCGACTACACACACCAGGTTCATTACCACTCCTTGCCTTTGCTCATGCTGTCCTCTCTCCCCCTGACCACTCCCTGACCAGAGGCCTCTGCCCATCCTAGTCACTGCTCTTAGGAGGCTTATAGCAAATGACTGGGAGCCTAGGCTTTGGAGTCAGATGGCACTCGGGTTCTCCGTAGCTGGGTGGCCTCATCGACTTCATGAATCTTGGTGTTCCATCCAGAGTCACCTCCAAGAGTTAGTTTTGAAAACTAAATCCGAAGCATTTAGTACAGGGCCGAGCATAGGATACATGTGAGCTGATGTTATTATCTTTTAATTATCATTATTATCTCTCAAAAGTCATTTGGGTCTTTCATCTCTTCTATACGATGACATTTCAATGCAGGAGGAAGGTAAACTTCCAAAGAATGTGAGTGAAAAGACCCGAGAAAGTTGAGGGCTGGAGAAAGAAATCCTCACTGGTGAGAGTGATACTTCAACTATAAGAGACTCCCACTGAAAGAAGGGCCCTTCTGCAGGCTGTTCCTGGGTCCCTGACTCAGGCCACTGTGGCAGGTCCCCATCGGTAGTGGGGCAGCCTGAATTCATTATCTTAATTCTTAGCATTTTCCATTTCTCCCCATTCTTCTTCTCATTATTCAGAACCGAGTCCAGAGACTTGGCTTCCTACCTAGAGTTTCAAACCATGTAAAACATGCACCAACCCACAGCTCACTGGGCTAGAAAGACTATGCATTATTAATCTACCAAGCCCAGACCCATAAATGTTTTAAAGAATCAAAAGTAAAAAGCACCAAAAACATTCTATACCTCCTGCCAACATCTCAGCATCACGTCATAGACATATTTGGACGCCAACTTAGGCCGGTAGAGGCGGTGGCCGCGGGTAACCATGGTTACCACTTCGTAGTTGGTGTTCTTCTCGAAGGGCATTCTGCCTTCAGTGAATACTTCCCACATGAGAACACCTGGAAGGGGGCAAGGATTACCAAGTGATGCATCACTTCCCCTTCAGAGCAGAGTTGAGGGAAAACGGACCGTGGGTCTTACCGAATGACCAGACATCTGATTTGCTGCTAAAGCGGCTGTAATTAAACACCTCAGGTGGACACCACTTCACAGGAAATTTAGCACCAGAAGAACTTGTGTATTGGTCATCCAGAACATACCTAGAGTAAGAAAGACACGTCCTTGGTTTACACCTCTGAGTTCTGATCTGCATGTTGTACATGTTCTTGCTCCCCCGCCCCCTCCGCCCCCCTAGAATCAAAAACACAGTTGACTGAAGTCCAACAAGCATCCGGTTGAAGCTAAATGTTTGCTTTGGTGGCCATGCCTGGTGATTTCCATCTCAGCTTTATTTATTTGTAATGGATGGATTGTGACATTAGTATCTGTACTTTCACTTTTGTCTTTTCTTTTTTATAAGCAATAGAAGCAGAATACAATAAAATAGTTCACAAACTTCTTTTGTGAGCAATTTTGTTACAAAATTTTACCCAAAGGCTCCACTTGTAAAACATCTAAAGCAAAGCTGTGCTAAAGGAAGTGGTGAAAAGCATTTGGAGACACACGTGCTTTTAGTCCACAGAGCACAATTTAAAATGACAGCAAATTTAAAAAGCAAATTGCAAAATGACATATGTAAATGGTGGAATATATATTTATAAACCATGACATTGCTCCTACATACACACACACACACCAAAAACAACAACAAACTATTATATAATTTTTCTAAGGGAGCATACCTATATCTTTCTGGAAGAACAGATACAAACTGATAACACTGACTATGTCTTGGGAGCATCCTTGATTGGCAATGGTACACAGGGGAACTTCAGCCCTTTCTGTAATGTGTTCAGTATGTATTTACAAGAGGAATGTGTTTGTGTATTACGTAAACATAGAAAGTTAATTTCTAAAAGCTCCTTGTTCCTGGAGAAAATATTCAAACACTCGCACAGCCTCCTTTGCTGTATAGACAGAGATGGTGACGATGCCACCATGGTCTGGGTCACCTTGTCTGTCATTCAGGGGAGTCTGAATTCAGTGTACAGTGAGTGTTTTCGAGGGGCTGACACAAAAGCACAGATTTTCCGAAAGCCAACCATACGAAAATGGAACATGTAAAACTGAAGGACCGCCTGTCAGTTACAGAACATCTTTACACAAAGCAGACCAAGAGCACTGGGTAACTCATGCCCTGACGGCCAGCAGTGCCGACCCCACTGCTGACAGTAACGCAGCTTTCTGACCTCCCTGGTCCTGATTTCCCTGAGGAGCTAACCTGGACCTGTACGGCCTGGTCCTGCATCCCTTTATTATTGCTCTTTGCGCTGGCGACGGGAGAGCCACCCTGGCTCTTTCCATTCCTTGAGCAGGCCAAGCTTGTCCCAGATTTCAAACTTTTTAAAAATATATTTATTCTTTTCTTTTTTTTCCATCATCATTTATCCCACCTATCCTCTCCTCCACCTCCACCAGCTTTCAAACTTTTATACTTGCTGTCTCTTTCACCTGGAATATTTTATCCTCAGGTTTTCACCGAACTGGCTACTTTCTGCCTTTTTGGTTTCATTTAAATATCCAGGTCTCAAAGAGGCCTCTGGAGTACCATCACCCCTCCCTTATTCCACCACTCAGCACCCACCCCACCCCCAATGCCAAGCTCTCTCTATCACAGGGGCCAGCAAACTTATCTGCAAAGGGCCAGATAATGAATATTTCCGATTTTGCAGGCCGGCCTCTGTCACTGCCACTCCACTCTGCCTTAGTGCTGTGAAGGCAGCCACAGTCAACACAAAAGCACAAGCAAGGCTGTGACCCAGTCGCATTTTACTTATGGACACTGACACCTGAATGCCAGAGAACTTTCACGTGTTGTATTCCTTTAATTCTTTCCCAACCATTTAAAAATGTGCAGCCCTAGCCGGTCTGGCTCAGTGGATAGAGCGTTGGCCTGTGGACTAAAGGGTCCCTTTCGATTCCGGTCAAGGATATATATAAAATTAAAAAAAATGTGCACATATTGTTGACTCACAGGTCATACAGAAAGAGAGGGTGGGTCAGATTTAGCCCAGGCAATGTAGTCTGCTGACCACTGCTCCATCACATCACTCTGTCCTCTGCATTTTGCCCCTTTTGTGTGTCTCAGGTCCTATGTCTCACCCCCCTCCCCCCTCTTAAATATAAGCTGCATGTGGTTGGGGACTCGTATGTCTTCCTCTCTGCTATGGTTCAGTCTAACATTGTGCCTGGAACATAGTAGGCACCTAATTTCTTAATGATGGATACATGGATGAATGAATGGACAGCAAAAGAAGGACAAACTATAGTACAGAAGGACAAATTAAAATTATAAAAATTAAGCAAATAAAAACAGATTTTGGTATTCTATACCCCAAAACAGTTTTCTGTGAAAACAAAAGGTTCTAAAAATCTAATCCACATCAGGGAGAAAAGAAAAAAAAAAAAGTAGTGTATTTAACAGGCTATACCACCACCTAGTGGAGAGGATTAACAATAATTAACACAATATCCACACGTTTATTTTCATGAATATATCTGTCTCAAAACAGCCAGCTAACAAGCTTGCCTTTCTGCTTCATCCGTGCAGATTATACTCATGCTTATTCATTCTACATGCTAATGTGACCATCACATAATAAAGCTTTAAGCAATCATAATTTCTCAACAATTTGTTTACCTGAGAAAAAGCCACAGCTAACAGTAATGGACACACTCAGCAAAAAAATCTTCCAAAATGCAAGTAATTTATTTTATTAGCTTATATAAAAAATACTAAGAAATGGAAAAATCAATTAGTTCCTCTATAAAAAAATGATGGGTACTACCAATATTTTTGCTAATGTAACAAAACATGTGGTTTCAAAACAGCACTTAATGTAGGCTTCCGAGGAAGAAGCTGACAGTCAAACTGCAAGAAAAAGTCAGGCTTTATGTACTTTTAAGGGAAAGGTAACAGTCTCACATTAACTTAATCCAAAATTGATAAAAATGTTCACATACACTCAGACTTACCTGGCCATTCCAAAATCAGATACTTTCACAACTCCTGCCTCATTTACTAGACAATTTCTGGCAGCCTGGGAAACAACATTATAACGGTATATTAGTTACAAAGTTCTACAATAACAGTAGGAAAATATAAGTTCTGTTTATATTAAGTTTAGTATGGCCCAGTCAACATCTGCAAAGGGAGGAAATGTCTCTTCAAAAATTATTTGTACACCTATGGAAATGTCTCCAACATACAGTTGAACAACATGGGTTTGAACTATATGGGTCCACTTACACATGAATTTTTTTCAATAAATACATACAGTACTGTATATGTATTTTATCTTCTGTATGATCTATAATAATCAAAGCGTAATATGCTAACTAGACCGGACACCCTTCCGGATAAAGCGGGGGCTGCGAGGGGAGCCCCAGGTCCCGGGTGCCAGAGGGAAGCCAGTGCCGGCAGCCAGGGGAAGGAAGGCCTACTCTTGCATGAATTTTGCGCATCGGGCCTTCAGTTTTCTTAAGATTTTTTACTAATTTATTTTATTGTAAGAATACAGTAAATAATACATATAAAATATGTATTAATTGACTGTATATTATTGGTAAGGTTTCCAGTCAACAGTAGGCCATTAGCAGTTAAGATTTGGGAGAGTCAAAAGTTATACATAGATTTTTAACTGTGTGGGAGTGGGATTCCTCTAACCACAGGAGGCAAACAATCAATGTTTCTTTCACACATCAATGCTTCTCTCACTCTCCCACCCATCTTCCTCTCTGTCTAAAATCAGTAAGGAAGAAGTAAAATTGTCACTATTTGCTAACAGTATGATTTTACATATAGAAAATTCCAAAGTCAATAAAAAAACTGTGGGATTAATCAGTAAAGTGGTAAATTATAAAATCGACTTATAGAAACCAGTGGCATTCTTTTACACTAATGATGAAGCATCAGAAAAAGAAATTTTAAAAAGACTATCTCATTCACAATAGCATCAAAACCAATAAAATACTTAGGAATAAATTTAATCAAGGAAGTGTAAGATCTGTACAATGAAAACACAAGATTTTGTTGAAAAAAATAAAAGAAGACACAAACAAATGGAAAGACATCCCAAATTCATGGATTGGAAGGATAAATGTTGCTGAAATGGTTATACCTTCCAAAGTAATTTACAAATTCAACACAATCCCCATCAAAATACCAAAGGTATTCCTCATAGAAATAGAAGAAACGATCCTAAAATTTGTGTGGAACCACAAAAGATCCTGCATAGCCAAAGCAAAAAAGAATATAGCCAGAGGTATCACCCTTCTTGATTTTAATCTATACTACAAAGCCACAGTATGGTACTGGCATAAAATAGACCATGGAACAGATCAGAGAACCTAGAATTAAATCCTGGCATTTACAGTCAATTAATATGCCACAAGGGAGCCAAGAATACCCAATTAGGAATGAATAGTCTCGTCAACAAATGGTGCTACGAAAACTGGAGAAACACATATACAACAGTGAAATTGAACCTCTATCTCACACAACTGACAAAAATTAACTCGAAATGGATCAGACTTAAACATAAGACCTGATACCATAAAACTCCTAGAAGAAAACATGGGGAAGAAACTCATTAATATTGGTCTTGGGAATTTTTTTTTTTTTTTTTTTTGGCATAACACCAAAATACAAACAACAAAAGCAAAAATCAGCAAATGGGACTACATCAAACTCAAGAGCTTTTGGATGGCAAAAGTAATAATCAACAAAATGAAATGACAGCCTACATAATGAGAAAAAATGTTTGCAAACCACATATTGGATAAGGGGTTAAAATTCAAAATATTTAAAGAACAAACCAATTTAAAAATTGGCAGAAGAAATAAATAGACATTTTTCCAAAGACATCAAAATGGCCAACAGAAACATGAAAAGATACTCACTCAGCATCCACTATCATCAGAGAAATGCAAATCATAACCACAATGAGATATCTCTTTACACCTGTTAGAATGGCTATCATCAAGAAGACAAGAGACAACAAGAGCAGGAAAGGATACAGTGAAATGGGAACCCTTGTGCATGTAAATTAATGGGATTTAAATGAGTCCAACCACTATGAAAACAAAAAGTTAAAAAGAGATCTACCAAATGATCTAGCAATTTCACTTCTGGTTGTATACTCAAAAGAAATGAAAACAAGGAGGAAAACCAAGATGGTGGCATAGGTAAACACCGGAAATTGCTGCCTCCCACAACAACTTCAAAAATACAACGAAAAGACAAAACGGACATCATCCAGAACTACAGGAAGGCTGGCTCAGTGGAAATTCTACAACTAGAAAGAAAGAGAAAAGCACACTGAGACTCAGAGGAGCTGCGGAAGTAAAGTGCAGAGGTATGGAGGATCCAGCGCGTGCAGAAAGGGGCTGGCACCTGAGGACACAGCTGTCTTTTTTAATTGGGAAGGAGTCACAAGCTCCCAGCTGCTCTGAACTCCAGTTCCGGGAAGTTATGGGGGACCCAGGACACATATAAGGAGAAACTGGACTGTCTGGCATCAGGGCAGCAATGCTAGGGCGGCTTTCTTTCAGATGGAGGTGTTTGCAGTGGTCATTGTTCCTGCGCTGGGAACTCTCTGGGACAGTGTTGAC